GGTCCCGGCGGGGCTCCCCGAGTCCCCGCCCCGCCCGGTCGCCTCTGGGCCAGCCGGGCGGGATTGTGACCGTGCGGCTTCTGGACTCCCGCCTGGAGTGCAGAGTGGGCTCCCTGCTGCCCCAGGGCGAGTGCTGTGGGGCTCTGCGGAGCGACCGAATTGGGAAGAAGTGTATTTGCCAGGCTTCCTGGCCCTGGCCGAAGCGGTGTGTGTGTGTGTGTGCGCGTGGCGCAGGGGGTCATAAATCCAGGATGGTGACTGATGCCTGTCACTTTGTAGCGGTTTCTTTGAGCAGGCCTTGTCATCCGCCTAGTTTTGTGCAGCGGTGGACACGTACATGGATGCTAACCGGGAAGTGGGCTTCCCTAGCTTTTCCCAAAAGCTTGCGTTTTTGTTTTGTTTTGTTTTTTCCGTATTGCTTGGTGGTTGTGTTTTGCTTTCCCCCTCCCGTTGTAATTAAAAGAACGTATGACCGATTCTACATTTTGTGCGTTTCTAATAACTTTTGCCTATTGATATTGGACAGTAAGACATTGTTATCCGAATGGCCATACTATTTTCATAATACCAATCTCTTGTAGTCTTGCCTTTGTTCCCGTCATTTTAGGAATGTTTCTGGAGTCTTCCAGATGTTGCACGGGATGGAAGGGCCTCTCTGTTTCTACTCCCCTAACAACTGCATGCAGTAGATAACTTTTCTTTTGCTACTTTAAGAAAACTCCACTTTTGTCTTTATCCAGTATTAATGAAAATAATCCTCTTAATTATTAAATATTTTGCCATTGGTAACCATTTTCGAAGGATTCTGAGTCTCAAGCAATATTACTCCAATAAACATTTCCCAAATAACTTCCTACTTACCTGAAACTAGTGGCTCTTATTATCTTTCTGTGCTTCATTATAGTTGTACAACTTATTTCAGCAGCCTAAAATAAAAATAATGCAAAATAGATAAATGCTATAATTTCTGTGTGAAGTTGAACCATGACCATTTACATGAAAAAAAAAATCGTATTCTTTAGCTATAGCAACCTTAATGGCCACCCAGTAAAACCACCTTCTCTTGAAAAGTATTATCACCCTTTAGTGATTTCACTGAACCATCTAATTCTTCAGCATGATGAAACCTTGATTTCTTCTTGGATGTCTGTTCATTAACACAACGCCCCCAGAAACATTATACATTGGACACTAACTGCATTCTCATCTCTCACCATATTTGCCATGATAATGTCTGCTGTGGGTGAATTATTTCCTATCTACATGCAAATGGAGTTTTACCACATTTTAAATCTTTTTATTGCTTCGTGTAGGAAGAGGTTTATTTTATGGCTCATATACTTTTATAGAAAGCTGAAAACATTGGAATTATTATTTGCAGTTAATAGCAGTAGCATTTATAGGTGAAATTCTGCCTCTTGAGGAGCAACAGTCATAGTTTTAACATCTCTTCTTTACCTTGCTTTTGATTTAGTTAAATGAATCTGGGAAGTCTAGATATGATGGGTTCCCCAGCCCCTCCAGAGTCCTTTAGGCAGTCACAATTCATAAGGCTAAGGGGCTTACCAAAGATAAGGTAGGAGAACTGAAGGCATCTCCTGACTTCTTTCTCCTCTTTATAATCAGGTCAGTTTTTGCTTCAGCAGAGTATATACTGAAACTGGAATGCAGATTTGGAGACTACTCCATATTTTTCTATTTTGGGGGCATAGGGACAGTAGGATTCATTGTGGGGTCAAGGGAAGCTGAAAAGGGGGGCAGTGAATAGTATCAAAGAATATTGTGTACATGCTTGAAAATGTCAATGAAAACCATTAATTTATACTAATGATAATAAAGAAACCAGATTAAGCTTATGGTGATACATAATTTTAAGTAAGCACTTGGGGTGGCATGGGGGGTCATGGGGTATGTGTGGAGGATGAGGCAGGTGGATCATAAATTCAGGGTCATCCTAGGCTACATAGTGACTTCAGGACTGGCCTGGATTAGGTAGAGAGATATTATTTCAAGAAAAAAAGCAAGCCAGGCAGTGGTGACACATGCCTTTAATCCCAGCATTGGGAGGAAGAGGCAGTCAGATTTCAGTGAGTTCAAGGCCATCTTGGTCTACAAAGCAACTCCCAGGACAGTCAGAAAAGAAACCCTGTCTCTAAAAAACAAAGAAAACACAAACAACCCCCCCAACCAAAAACAAGAACTGAGATTCCCAGTTTATTTTACCTTCTGTGTTGGCCATATTTATGAAAACTATGAGCAATCCTTTTTTTTTTTTTTTTTTTTGGTTAGTTATATATGGAAAGAGGTCATACATTGAATAAGTATAGAATCCATTCACAGATATCTAAATATTTTGTGAGTTGTCTATACTTGTTCCTTCATAGACAAATGAATATTATGCACAGTGATATTTTTGTTTGACTGAATGTATATTACCTAGCAAGAATTCCTTCAATACTTTCGAAAATTCAAATTGAAAGATGTCTTATTGAGGGAGATAGTTACTAAGGTAGTATTGTATGTACACATGAGAAACATTGCTCACAGATGTCTTATTTAGTTTAAGCTGTCAACATGGCATGGTTCAGAGTCATCTGTGGCAGTCTCCATGGATAGACTGTCCAGATTAGATGGTCTGTGGCCATGTCTGTGATGACTGTCTTGATTGTTAGTTGATGTGGGGAGATTCCAACTCACTGATGGCAGTGCCATCCCTGGCAGGAGGTTCTGAGAAATCCAGCAGAGAAAAAGCAAGAAAAAAAAAAAAAAAGGATCTTGTTTTCTAAGATATAGTTTGCTAGTCTGTGTCTTTTTTTCGGTGAATGAGTCCACTAATATTTATGATGATTATTAAAAGGTATGTGTTGGTTCCTATCATTTTACTTTTGCACTGTTTTCCTAAATCTCTTTTGATTTGTTGGTCTGGTATTTATTTTCCCCCAATGACGACCTTTCCGGTATGTTCTCTGTAGTATTCCTTCCATTATCCTTTTATTTGGCTTATTGGTCATAAACTCCATTAGTTTGTTTTAATCTTGTAAAATTTTAATTTTCCCTTCAATTAGGATAGGTAGTTTTGCTGTGTATAAAAGTCTGGATTGACTTTTTTTGTCTTTCAGAACTCAGAATACAAATCTAAGCCCTTCTTGACTTAAAATTTTGTATTAAATTATCAGCTGTTATTACACTTAGTTTATTTGGTTGCAGTAATTAAACATGCTGACCAAAAGAAACTTGGGGGAGGAATGGATTTATTTGGTTTACACTTCCAAGGCACAGTGCACAACTGAAGCAAGTCAGGGTGAGAACCATGTAGGAACACTGCTTGCTGGCTCACATTTAGATTTGCTCAGCTAGTTTTCTTTTTCTTTTTCTTTTTCTTTATTTGAATTACAAACAAGATTGAATTACATGACAATCCCAGTCCCCTCCTCCCTTCCTCCCTACCCTACCACTCTCCCAACTAAAATCCTACCTATCATATATCCTTTCTTCTAATCTACACCTGACTCAACCTTTCTGCTCCCTCATGTCCTCTGCATCCGTTCTTTTCTTCCCTTCTCATTCTCATAGCTCCCTTCCCCCTCTTCCCATGTCTCAATTTGCTCAGGGGATGGTGACCC